AGAGCGCGTTTCGCCTTTCGGCAAAGTTACAACGAGCTCATGAACCTTTTGCCCAGAGAAAGAGATAAAGAGATTGAGTGGGCTCACTCAATGGGATAGATTTATACGCGCCGGCCGAGACGAGACACGCTGTTTAGTTTACTCAACGATGAATAAATCATGAACAGGTGAATCGAAAATCTTGTCATTCATTAATGGGTTTATTGTTGCTACTTGAGAATTTGTAGAGCAAAATTTCCGGTATTGATTTGGCGACACCAACGTTCTTTGTAAAAGGTGATTGGCGTGGGTCCAATGGGATATAAAACAACGAATTGCATAAAAATGGTTGTAATGAGTGAGAAAGTATTCCTTGGACCGATATTGCAAGCCTGGCCATAGAGGCTTATGAATACATTTTGTCGCATGGTGAAGCAAAGAGTTAAATATCAAGGTCGTAATATGGCTTATAATATCGGTGCATGCAACGAATATTGTTAAGTATTTTAACATTAAATTCGCGGACGTGGAAAATTTCACCATGGCATTTACGTAATTGAAAAAACTTTCGTTCCTAAAAGAAATACTTTTAGGAACTTGCTTTCGTTTGAGTGGGCATCTCATTAATTCTTTTCCTAAAAATAGATTTTTACAAATTAACCTCCTTTGAATTAGTGTTTTAAGAAAAACCATATTGGACGCATTCCTACTCAGCAAGCAATAATTGGAATGGTGTATATAATCGTAAATAAAGTATGTTGAGTTTCTGGCGTAATGATTGATGATTTAATTTAGAAATAAATTGAGTAATTACAAGAATATGTTGCAATTGCATAAGATCAAAAATAAAATAAAAAAATTAATGTGTCTAAAGTTCAAGCCTCTCCGTAGATCTAATTGTGTACAATTAATGGCATTTCTTCAGTAATAATTACTTCCAGTTGACATTCAAACAAGATATTTAAAATGTAATAATTACAATGGCTCCATACATATATCTCAAGGATTCAATTAATTAAAATTAAAACATGGAATGTTTAAATCGGAGATAATACATCTATAACTTTCCTATTTTGCTAAACAAGGCCAAGAAACTTAGTAAACCGAAAAAAATCATACAAATATGTCCACAATGAATACTTTTATTCAATACAGATATATTTGCAGGAACATTTCTTCGCTTCTATTACCTCGCAACGACTTGTAGGTGTAGCACGCTTATGGTAATGGTCAAGATAACACGCGGCGAATGAGTGCAAGGTTATTTTAGTCTTACAATAGCAAATACGGCGTGGCCAGTAATATACAATGAATCAAGAGGAAATTGACCGGCAAGAACGAAATGTCAGAAAATAAATATTTACTCGCGACATTTCCGATGTTAAAAATAAAAATAAAAAAACTAGTAATTTCGATTAAGATAAAGAAAAATTGTTTCAATTTGCATACAAAGATAAATATTTAATGACATTTTATTGATAGGAAATTGAGTCCGTTTCAACGTGAGAAGGTGGTAGAAAGTGAATTTGCCCCAATGCCACACGTATACGCACGCAGCAATGTAGTGGTCGTACAAAAGTTGTTCTATTTTAATATTTTATTATGTAGTCTCACACCTTGCGCCATTTATTGTCACTGAACCGGGGCGTGATCCATTGTCCTATAACAAAATAGAAGAAAACGAACCTAAATTTCTTCCGCATTCCAATATAACACATTTTAAGTAAAAAAAGTTCTGTGAAAACCCTACAAGTCGCCTTGAAACAGTTATTGACGCAGTTGAAATCCTATTTACGCGGTTAGAAAACCGTAAAGTTTACTTTAACGTTCAGTGTTAAGGTCAAATTGTAGATATTTCCCCAATCGCGAATTCATTTAAACCCACATCTTATAGTATTAAGTTTCAATAAATTATTGCAAAACAATAGCGTTTAATGCTAACGTCCAGTTAACAACGTCTGTAATAAATCCGATCTAAAGCGGTCGATCCAGATAAAATCTGTCCAAAGATAATGCCCTCGTAAATAAAACCGCATTGCAGTTGTGTCTATCATTTCAACTGTTGTTTCAAAAGGATTTCAATGACGCAAAGTATCTTTAAAGCGATCATTACGTCAACAGCTTCCTTTTATATATCATAAAGGGATAGATCTCTAGGGTTTAAACTCGCATTTTAGCAGATTGTTTAAATTATTTGACATGTTTATGTTTTTTGCCAATGAAATTGCCAAACAAATCTCTTTGTTGTATCTGATAATATCTATTTGATAGAAGCCACTTGTTTGTTTGTTTTTTTTTTGTGAATAAACTAGCATGTTTTATACGCCGCCATAATGTAAAGCTGTTATTAAACTTTTATCTTTTTAGTGTATAAAGATTTAAAAATTTTGCGTTAGCGTTTTTTTATTTCACACTCTATGCAGTGAATTTCACTGAAAATGCAATATACAACAATATATTTCTATAGAAACTACGGCGTACCTACCTACTTTTCTAGTGACAGTGGTAGGTAGCGCTAGTTAGAATTAGATATCACTATGTTATATATTTTTATTGAACTAAAACTAGAACTAACACTAGATCTAGAACTAGAAACATTCGGGTTTAGCCGTCTTGAGAGACGTGCGGCTAAATCCGAATGTTTCCAGATCTAGGTCTAGTGCTAGTTTTAGTATTGCACTAGCACTGTCACTAGAACTAAATCAAGAGCTAGAACTAGAATCATTTGGATTTAGCCCTCTTGACAGACGCACAACTAAACCCGAATGGTTCTAGGTCTAGTAAATTCAGCGTTAGATTGTGGTATATTTTTATTGAACTAAAACTAGAACTAACACCTAGAACTAGAAAGTATCCCTAGAAGTAGACCTAGAACCATTCGGGTTTAGCTGTGCGTCTGTCAAGACGGCTAAATCCAAATGATTCTAGTTCTAGTATTAATTCTCGTTTTAATTGTTATTCAGCGTTAGATTGTAGTATATTGTTATTGACTGAGGGAAATATATTCTTGAACAAAGATTATTACTCTTGGCACAAGCTTATCATATTCTTGTATATCCACAAGATCATTTTGTTAAGGGAAGAAAAACCACATATTCTTAAGAAAACGAATTCTTAGTGAAAGTAAATCAATCATCTTGAAAAAGAGTATCTTAGTGTTGCGTCAACAATCCGATTTTCGAATCGAGAATAAATTTCTTATGTCAAGAATAACGTATCTTTCTTTTTAGAAAAACTTATTCATGTAACAACAATCTTGTATAATATCTTCTTCAATTGAGTATTATAAATTATTGTTGTATTCGTTATTTCTTTCCATTTTAAAGCATTAAATAAAATAACAATGTCTTCTGTTTGTACTTTTATTAAAAATGGATTATTTGTTTTTAATTCTACCGGTTTCGGTTCAATAGTAGAACCATCTTCAGGAACCCTCGAATGTCGTCAATTTATTTTTAAATCTCTTGTGATAGTTAATTTTTTGATACAAAGAATTGATATTCTTCGATGCGATAAGAATATGAGATACTTCATTCGATAATATTTCTATTCTTAAAACAAAAAAATATTTTTGTTTTATGAATATCTTATACTTGTTTCTAAAAAATACATTCAAGAATAAATTTTTCTTGGAAGTCAAGAATAATTTCCCTTAGTGTAGGTCTAGTGTTAGTTCTAGTATTGCACTAGCACTATCACTAGAACTAACACAAGACCTAGAACTAGAATCATTCGGGTTTAGCCGTCTTGAGAGACGTGAGGCTAAATCCGAATGTTTCTTATTCTCAGTCTAGTGTTTGTTCTAGTATTGCACTAGCACTATCACTAGAACTAACAAAAGATCTAGAACTAGAATCATTGGGGTTTAGCCGTCTTGAGAAACGTGCCCGAATGTTTCTAGTTGTTTCTAATTGTTATTCAACGTTAGATTGTGGTATATTTTTATTGAACGAAAAGTAGAACTAACACTAGACCTAGAACTAGAAACATTCGGGTTGGGTTGGCTATGGTTATTGCTTTCATATGAAATTCGAGTTATATGTGATGGCTTTTAACGAGTTACTTACTCATCCTCATGCTGTTAAACTTTGTGGAGTCTTAAACATTTTGATGGGCGAAGAACAAACAGTTAATAATTCTTTTAGCAAAAATTTGGAATTCAGATTTGGGCATACTGTGTACATACTGAGTTTATTCCACATTCTTTATAATCTACCCGTTCGTGTACGTTTTTTCCAACACTCCATGTTTTTGAATTGTCCACAGTTGGTTTCGATTATGAATGACCGAGGAAAGGTGTTTGGCTTTTATTCTTTTTATAGAATAATAATAAAAATTTGGTGTTATAATTGTAATATTAGAATATTTAGAAATTCTAATACAAAAACATAACGTAAATGAATTGATAAAATTGAACATAGAACCATATTCGATGCTACTTTTGAACCAATTTCGAATAAAATATTAATGATAGTAATTATAATCTTAATTATGTTCTAAATCTTGTCATCAACTAGACGCAGGTGTAACCCATTAAAGTTTCGACACGAAGATAGAGATAATTTGTTCAATTAACACGACGCGTTCAGTATCGGTGCGTATTTCCTCAAGCGTATATAATTAAGCGAAATAAATAGATGCTGTCGAAGGATCGATGTGTATTGACCGTGTAAACGATGATGATGTGGATCATTGCGCGGAGGTTTATGTAGTTACATTAGACGTACAGAGGACAAGGAAAGCCTCACCTACAATAGGAATGCCGCGGTTTTTGCTCTGCGGTGCTGCCGGCTCGATACACTATTTTTTTAAATTTATTGAATATTTACCATGGCAATGAAGTGTATCTTACAGGAAACCTTGGAACCAATGCGACAGGGAGTACAAATTTATCGGAATGGAGTATTGAGCAGCGGCCGCATTTCTAATAACAAAACGGCCGTAAGGCGACGCCTTTACCACCTCTATACTTGGTTCCCTTTACGTGTGGGATTAAATACATTTTTTCTAAAGTGCGTTTCCCTAGAACGGTTCTGCAGGGTGTGGTTTCGGTATATAAATACACAATGCCTTTGATTTAATTGTCACTGTGAAATCCACCGCAAATACATCAACATGTTTGTAAAACTGGTAAGCAAAGGAACTCACGCACCCTTTGTTCTTCCTTACTCTTATCTACTCAAGTGTTTTTTCATCTTCGGTATCTAATTAGTTTTAAATCAGTTTCCAAACGGTTCCTACAGTTTTAATTGGATTTCGTGAAGAAAAGTGATTATTTTTTATAAATCTTTTAGGCAGTATTCGCTTGTTCATTGGCTTTTGCCGCCGCCGCATGGAATGGACCACTCGCTGGTGGAGTTCCAGCCCATCAATTCCCAGCTGGTGTGAGCCCCGAATCATGCCCAAATTTCCCCAACTGTAATAATCCAGCCGTTGCTGTACAAGCAAATGCCGGAGCTCACGCCGGTGGATGGAACGCAGGTAACAATGGTGCATGGAATGGAGGAAACAATGGCGCATGGAATGGTGGAAACAATGGCGCATGGAACGGCGGCCACAACGGAGGATGGAACGGAGGTAATAATGGAGCATGGAACGGCGGTAACAACGGGGCATGGAACGGCGGCAACAACGGAGGATGGAACGGAGGAAACGAAGGAGGATATACTCCCAATAACGCTTTAGATGCTGGAGAATACACCGGAGATGGAGATTATCGTGGAGAAGGTCTTCAAGAAGCTGGAGCATACGGAGATGGTAACTTTTTTTTAAATTAATTTATTTAACTCTAAAAATGTAATTCTTAGTGAGCCAAGATCAAAGCCAATGGAACAATAATGATGGAGGATGGAACGGTGGACACAATAATGGCGGATGGAACGGAGGATGGAACAACGCCGCTCCAGCTTACAACCAAGGAGCTGGAGCTCAAGTTCCCGCTGGAGTCGATGGTCACTCCTGCCCCAACTATCCATTCTGTCACTAAGTCAAGCCAGACGCCAGCTGACTAAACATGTTGTCGCTTGCTGTGCGACCTTTAGACCTATCATCAAGCACAGCATATCTGTTGTGTTCATATGATCTGTAATATATGTATTTAAAAAAAATTTAAAAACATCAATAAAGACCAAATAGATTAAATCTATTTATACAAAAAAATTAGACAAAACAAAATTTGTGGTGCTGTGTTTATCCCTTAATCTACCATTTATTATATATATACTCGCTATTATTTAAGACGCTCTACCTATAAATCCAATATGCACAAGAAGAGGTTCAAATGCTTTTGTAAAAAAATTATAGCCAATAAATCTACTTTAAAAAGACCAATAGTAAATTTATAAAGAAAGCAAATTGATTCCATGCCAAACATTAAAATTTGTGATTAATCCAGATCACAATTAAGATAAGTTATACCAACAACAAACTTGTTTCTTAAAAATTAATAACATCATTTCCTTGTAATTAAACGTTTAAAATAAATAGTAATTCTTCACAAGGTTACAAACTATCCTATAATCTAGATCGATTTACAACCGTTATTAACTCAAATTAGAAACCCAAATTAAATTAAAATGTTTTAAAACGCCATTAAACGGTAGTTTTAAAACTAGATTAATGTTTACCCAATAAAAATTAAAAAAACTAACCAACCTCGCTTCTTTGTATAATTTCTTTTAATAATTATTAAATATGACAAAATTACGCATAATCAACTCTTTTGGAATCCAATACAACAATTAAAGATAGTGGAGAAAATCGTTTAATGTCAATGCAAACGCGTTTTTAGAAGCACGCGCATATTCGCATCGAAAAAAATTAAAGTTGTCTCGCAATTAAGCGCAACGACAAGCAAACTTGTCCTTATGCCGAGAAAGCTGTTCGATATTTTACAATGTTATGTTTATTCATGCGTATGCATATCGTTCTACATCGGTGCGTGAAACGACCATAACTTTACCTCGCACAAAAGCAAACTTATTTGTTATAATTTGAAGAGATTTTAATCTTAATTAATCTAATTAAAACGTTTTGTTTAAAACTAAAGTTAATCGAACACGAGGGTGATGTGATTAACACATTGAGTTAATTGATAATAAAACCAGTAATAAAATTGTTTCATCCTTACGTCATAAACTTCGGTTCCCTTGAAGCGGATCGACGCAAAAGGTTGCAAAAGGCAATAAAATAAAATAGAAAAAAGTGCATGTTAAGCATGCCGAGGAGCGCCTCGCCTTTCTGTTAAATCATCGATGGTACTTGACATTAAGTTAGGCGTTGATCTAATTTCAGGACAATTTGCTTTACGTAATGGGTTCGTCAAATCGTGCAAGAACCAACACCCTTCATAACCAAATATAACAATAAACGAGGAAGTTATTATTGTCTAGATTTGAATTGTTACCATTCTGGAGTAATTTAAGTTGGAAAGAGCAAATTGCTCAGGAGTTAATAACAATATTGGTATTTAGATTTTCTTTTACTTAAGACAAGAATTATTTACGTTAAAATTTATTAGGTCAACCATATCTGAATTAATAAGAATAAATTACGAAGAAGTCGTTTTTTAGGAATTCTTTCAGGATTAAAATGATTTATTATCTAAATGCAAAAACTAAATTTAAAAACGTGATAATTTATTGGATTAATTAGTTAAACATAATTACTCAAAATTAATTTCAAAACCAATTAGAACTGTTTAATAACATCATAATCTTAACGATTCATTAAGCGATCTAAAAAAGACTAGTTTTGAACACCTTGAACCATTTATTGTCTAATAAATCATCATGGCTTAGTTTGTTTTTATATTTCTTGTGGTTTCGTTTCATAATTAAAAGAAATATTTTTATAAAAATGTTACAATAAAACTTTACGCTTAGGAAATTTTGGAATAGCTAGAAGCGTTAAAAATAATTATTAAGAGGTAACACTTTTGCTATTTTATTTTCTCTGGCCATGAACACGCCAAAACCTTGGTCGGTTGTCGAAAAGTAAACGTTTAGAACAAAGGATATGTAAAGCAGCCTTTTAAGTTCACTTTTGATAAGAAAAAGTAACAAATATTTTTTGGGTGTGGTAACATATAAATAGACATAAATTCGTCTTTTAAATCATTGCAAAAATCAGTAGCAACTAAATAACATGTTTATCCAATCGGTGAGTTATTGTCGTGTTCCAGTGATAATTTGGATTACTTTTTGATTCATATCTTATTATTTTTAAGGCTGTATTAGCTTGCGCTTTGGCTATTGCCTCTGCAGCATGGAACGGCCCGTTAGCTGGGGGACAACCTGCTTCTTCAATCCCCGCAGGAATTAGCCCCGAAGCTTGTCCAAATTACCCAGATTGTTCAAATCCTAATGTTGCTATTGAACCTAACACCCCAGTAAAAGGATATAATCAACAATACCAACAACCACAATATAATCAACCGCAATATCAACCACCTCAACAATATCAACCTCAACACCAACCTCAATATCAACCTCAACAACAACCTCAATATCAACCACAATATAATCAAGTTAATCAAGGTAACGAAAAAGCTTTGTTAAGTGGGGAATATACTGGAGATGGTGATTATCGTGGTGAAGGTTTAGCAGAATCTGGTGCTTTTGGCCCAGTTGGTAAGTAGTATAAAATTTAAAGTTTTCCATGATATAAGACTTGTTTGTCTGTTTTAGATAATCCACAAGCCTACGATCAACATAGTTCTCACCAAGGGCGAGCTATTCAACCAAGTCAAGGTTATCATCACGCTCCAGTTCAACAACATCAACCTGCCGCGCAAGTTCCAGCTGGAGTAGATCCTCATTCTTGCCCTAACTATCCTTATTGTAGTTAAATATGTATGTGTGATACTGTGAAAAGACAAATATAAAAATTTAAATTTAATCGATTTTTACTATTAATTTCTTACAATAAACACAGTTCAACTAACCATGATTAGTTTAAAAAAACCATGATATGGCCAGAAGGAAAAGGCTCCTATGTCATTTTGGGCAGTATTTGCTCTGTATTCCAGTAAGCTTTTGTCGAATATCTTATAAAAAAGTTTATCGGTGTTTCTACCATAGTTTCTGGTGCCAAAACGAATCGCAATACAGGGTAATTCAAATTCGACCCCCACCATTGGGATCTCAGAAACCATAAGAGATACAGAAATGGTTGAGTTGGAAAAAACTAAAATGATGACTTTTTCGTTTTTTGCCTATAACTTCGTTATTTTTCGTTTTTTCGTGAATCTGAAAAAACAGTCTAAAGGCAACTTTTTATGAAAAATGTCATGACACAACTAAAATATGTCACACAATGTATTTCATTTAAAAAAACACTGAATTATTCAAAAAAAAAAATAAACCTGGTGATAGTTCCACGAAAACGAAACGTCGGAGAAAATTTCAAGTTGTGTCATGACGTTTTTCATAAAAAGTTGCCTTAAGAATGTTTTTTCAGATTCACGAAAAAACAAAAAATCAAGAAGTTATGGACAAAAAACGAAAAACTAATTTTTTTGTTTTTCGGCCATATTTCAAAAACTAAAACGGCTAGATTCAAAATCTTAGTTGAAAAATGATAAACTCTAAGATACGCAACTTTGCCCCCATTTAACCATTTCTGTATGTATGTATGTAGGAAAGCGGAGGGTATGCTAAAACGCACACAGCACCTAGGCCCCAACGGGCCCCTTGTACATCCTCCTACACTGTCTCCGGCTACATCAACCAGCCTAAGGAATTTCTGTGGTCGGCCATTCCTCTCCGAAGTCTCTCATTCTGAGGTCTTGCATTCACACAAGATGTGTCGGACCGTCTCCTCGCTCTCTTTACAGAGGCGACAGAGAGGACTAACAGCAAGCTTAAGGTTATAAAGATGCTTGTTTACCTTACAGTGACCCGTGACGAGTCCCGTTACAGTTCGTAGAGCGTTTCTACCAAGCCTTACGAAAGACAAGGCTGCCTCTGCTGAAGGATAATGTAATACTTCCTTAGACAGATGGCAACCCTTAACCCTATCCCACCAGTTCATGAACTTTTTGTGGGTAAAATCTTTAATTATCTCAATCTGAGTTGATAAGGACGGAGCGATTATCGGTTCAGGCGAACATGGCGCTCGCTTGGCAGCCCTTTTGGCAAGCCTATCAGCGTGCTTGTTACCTGAACAAGTCGAGTGTCCTTTTATCCATTGAAGTATGACACAGTTATGCACTGCGGCCTTCTCCAATGTCAGATGACAACCCATAACAAGTCCTGAGGTAATTGTTATTCTACTCAGGGCTAAAATAGCTTGTCTACTGTCAGTATAAATTGTAAAAGTCTTACCTACCAAGTTGGATCTGACAATAACGTCAGCGGCAAGTTGTATGGCGATTAACTCCGCCTGTATGACGGTGGTACTTATACCTAAAGGTTCAGATACGTGGAGTCGGAGATCGTACGAGAAGACTCCGGCTCCAGCTCCTTCCCGTCTCTTTGAACCATCAGTGTAGATTTTAAGGCTGTTTTTTACCTCTACTTCTGTGGAGCTTGGGTGGGTGAGATATTTCTTCGTAAAAATGTGTTGTAGGGGTGTAAAGTCCGTTACACACTCCAGAATTGGTGAGTAATCCACCATTTCATTCCAGAGATTGGCATTTTTACTATTTCTCTCACCCATTAGAATTCCTGCTGCTCGCAGTCGAGTCATGGTCACCAATGCCACCTCTTGGATGAACAAATGAAGTGGCGTTAGGTTTAACATGTTTTCCATGGCTGCAGTGGGGGTAGTCCGCAGCGCACCTGTAACATACAAACACGCAAGTCTCTGTACTTTATTAAGTGCAGTAGTGGATGTAGACTGTAGGGTCTTTGACCACCATACTACTGCACCATAAGTAAGCATAGGTCGGATTACAGCCGTGTAAATCCAGAGGGCATTTCTGGGTGACAAACCCCATGTCTTACCTATAGCCCTCCGGCATTGACCGAATGCAACGTACGCTTTTTTTACTCTATTATCTAGGTGGGCTCTCCATGTCATTTTATTGTCAAGTGTGATGCCCAGATATTTAACTTCTTTTGACAATACCAATGGAGTATCAGCAAGGGATGGCATTCTGGGATTGCCAACCTTCCTCATCCGTGTGAAAAGAATCAACTCTGTCTTCTTAGGATTCACAGAGAGTCTTTGTTCGTCACACCAAGTCTCTATCAGTTTGAGAGCTACTTGCATCCTGTCAAACAGCACGTTTATATACTTGCCTTTGACGAGAATGGTTAAATCATCTGCGTAACCAACTGTGATAAAGTTGGCTTCGGCGAGGCGGTTCAAGAGGCTATCCAGGGTGAGGTTCCACAAAAGTGGGGATAGTACACCCCCTTGTGGACAGCCTCGAGTAACTCCTCCTTGAAGACTGACATCGCCAGCCCTAAGCTTAACTATCCTATGTTTAAGAGTGTTCTCAATCCAACCACAAAGAGTCGGTGGAACATTATGCTCTAACAAGGCATCGTTAATACCAGAGAAAGTTGTTTTATCAAAAGCTCCCTCTATATCTACGAAAACCCCCAGGGCGGACTCCTTTAGGTCCAGCGCCCCACCAACAAAGCTGGTCACTGAGTGAAGAGCCGTTAGTGTGGACTTGCCCTGAGTGTAAGCGTGTTGATTAGGATTTACTGGTTTAGTTGGAAGACAGAAATCTCTAATATAGCGATCACACAGTCTCTCCAGAGTTTTCAAAAGAAAGGAGGAGAGACTGATTGGTCTAAACGATTTCGGTGTGAAATAATCAAGCTTACCCGGTTTTGGTATGAAGTTCACTGTGACCTCACGCCATCGACTGGGTATATAGCGCAGCGCCAGGCATGCTTGGAAGATTTCCACCAGGTGAGGTACTAAATCCTCCAGACCCCATTGTAAAAGGGCTGGTATAATACCATCTGGTCCTGGTGTCTTGAACGGCGAGAAACTGTTGATGGCCCACCGTATTTTATCCTCCCTGCAGATCTCTTCGGCTGAAATCCAATCATCTGCAGTAGGTTCATGGTTGGTGTCCTGTTGTATTTGTACGGAACTTCCGGAACCTGAAAAATGCACCTCCATTAATAAATGAAGACTCTCCAAAAGGTTGTCGGTATAAGAACCGTCAGCCTTTTTTAGTAAGCCAATTCGTCGTTCAGGGTCTGAAGCCAGAACCCTACCATTTCTGTATCTCTTATGGTTTCTGAGATCCCAATGGTGGGGGTCGAATTTGAATTACCCTGTATAGTAACCATAGTTACGAAACTACTGTGCACTTGTATTATCTCTTATCTCACATAAAATGCAACATAGCTTAATAGTATAGGCATTGGGTAATTTTGCAAAGGAAAATTTACCCTTTATGACAACCCTGAGTTTTCGGAAGTCTTAAGAGACGCACGGCTAAACCCGAATATTAATAGTTCTAGATCTTGTGTTAGCTCTAGTGATAGTGCTAGTGCAAAACTAGAACTATCACTAGACCTAGAACTAGAAAGATTAATCCAAAGCATTTTGTTTCCAATTCATTTTGATAACTGGAAAGCTCTCATCACTAAATTCTTCACAACTTCCTGCGCTACTCTCAGAATCTGTAAGTTACAAAAAAATTAAAAAGTAGAGAATAAATTTTCAAACAACCCGTCTTCACTTACAGGATCCTTCATATGAATACTGGCATCTTTCAAACCGTAAAATTTACGAGAATCGAGATAAAAGTGATAAAATTGCGCTAGAAACAAAGAAGTTTTTTGAAATTAACTTAAAAAAGCGATAATAACGTGTTAATTTCCACAAACGAATTTTAAGCGCCATTCAAGTTACACGTGCTACAAGAATGTATTAATACAAATTCCATATAATTATATCTCGCCCATTGCAAAAACTGTGCAAATGGCAAAACCTTATGCGCCGATATGTAAATGAGACGGTTTATTTTGTGCATACAAATTGAAAGGTTACGATCTGCACGGAGACTTGAATCTGTATTTCTTATTCAGGTTGAACTGATATGGGAGGGTGTTGATAAGGTTATTAAATAAATACGATAATTTATGATTATTAACGTAAGCCTTTTTAGATAACAAATTGAGTGGTGAAATTACGTAAATTGAATAAACACGAAAATTTTATTGCTTTTCTCAAGAAATAAGTTTCTTGAAGTCTTCACCTTGGTAAGCCGCCGGAAGATTGTCCGGATTGGTGCCATTGCGCTCTTTTACCTTGACTTTATGACGACGAATTCTTCGCGTCTGCCGATGATATTGAACATTAAATTTGGGTAACCGGGGCCAAAGTAGAGGCGTGGTTTTAGTATATAAAGAAAACGTCCACACGCAAAAACACAGTTGTATTTTCGTACACATTAGTACAATATGTTCACTAAATTGGTAAGAAGCTTCATTATAAATAGTTTTAAATTTAATTTCTTAATTGTTTTAGACCACATTAGCTTGCGTTTTGGCTGTTGCCAATTGCGCATGGAATGGTCCGTTAGCTGGGGGAGCTCCAGCTTCTTCCGTCCCAGCAGGAATTAGTGAAGCTGCTTGTCCGAATTATCCGCATTGCACTAATCCTAGTGTAGCCGTTGAACCAAATTCTCCTGCTCAACCACAATCTCAATATCAACAGTACCAACCTCAATACCAGCAACCACAATATCAATCTCATCAACCCCAATATCAACCTCAACAACAATATCAATCCCAACCTCAACAACAATATCAACCCCAACCTCAATATCAATCTCAACCACAACAATATCAACCCCAACCACAACAATATCAACAGCAACCACAACAAAATCAATATAATTCGGGAAATCACAATGAAAACGTTTTGTTAAGTGGGGAATACACTGGAGATGGAGATTATCGCGGTGAAGGATTAGCTGAATCTGGTGCTTTTGGACCAGTTGGTAACGCAAAATAACTCTTAACTGTCTCTTCAGAATAAAATTTTTTAATTCATTTTCTTTAGATGATCCAAAATCATATGATGCAACCCCAGCTCCCCAAATGGCTTATCAACCAACGCCAGCTTATAACCCTGCTGGATATCAACAACAAGGATACAACAATGCCCCACAACATGCTCAACCTAACAACGTTCCAGCAGGTTTAGATCCTAGTTATTGCCCAAATTATCCTTTCTGCCATTAAGAGATAAATAATTGTATACTTTACTAATTAAGTAGAGAAACATTACTAAAATGTACTGATATGTAAATTTGAAATTAAATTATTCAATTTTTTTTGTATATATTATTTTCTTATTATTTACGCCTATCAATTCTCTTATTAAAGAAAGTGTAGCAAACAGGATTTTTGTAACCTTGTGTTTCAATACATTCTTATTTATCACTTTCATATAATCCGGTTAAATTTTTCAAGGACACTATAAAATCATTGATCTCAGAAATGGTGTAAGTATTTATTACTTATTATTTACCTTATTCCTTATTTTTTAGTTACTCTCTTTAATAGATATGCTCCAATGCTGCAGTAACGACAAAAACCCTATGCTATGATTGATCCTTATAACCAAGAACCTGATTAAATTAAGAAATAATGGCGCTTAAATAAGAAAATTTGTTTACTAAAGTAATGAAAATGATCCAACATTAAATTTTAAATTAAATATCTTTCAATATTGGAATATAGGCAACTCATGTTACTAATACTGCTATCTTTTTTTAACAAATGCAAATAAAGATATTTTCATCCTTTTCTTAAAGCCATAACTCAACGTCAACGTCAACAACAATATAACCTACAAATTTCTCTTAAACAAAACCAATTTTAATCTTGAAAATTTTGATTAATTTAAACCATTTCGTCTCCTTTTTGAAGAATGGAATCGGCAAATGCACATAGAAAAATGTTAACAGCTGCGGTTTCGACAACCTTATTATCCATGGGTGTTGATGCAGCTGATAGAGATGTTTTGGAAAGTTATACAGAGATGATGCAGTGCTGTAAGAAACCAAATAGTTCATTTCAACTGTAACCTTTATTAATATTGCTTTATTTAGTTTTAGTAGAAGTTGGTTATTTGACTAAAAATTACTGTGAACTCTGTGGCAGAACGGAACCAACCATAGCAGATGTAATTTTAGGCTTTGTTGATATGGGTATGTCAATTTGTTTATATAAAATTAAGTTTTGTTTGCTTAAATAATTTGTGTTAGGTTTTGATGTGTCTGGTCTTGAACAGTTTAGTAAAAAACTTAAAATAAATCCATTACCTTCTTTGCAACCACAACAAATTCCAAAACAATTCAATATGTTACAAGCAGGAACAAAATTGCCTTTACCACATAATATTCCACAGCATTACCCACAATTTCCAGATCCACATGCTTATATTAGAACACCGGTAAGTAAAATGTTTTTACATTTTTTTATTGATAAAATTATTCAATATTTTTAGACACATAAACAACCTGTAATCGATTATGAAGCAATTCGTGAAAAATATGCTGTTCAAAAGAAAGATATGGAAAGAGCTTTAACAAAGTTTTTGGCAAAAACAAGTCAAATTCATAATTTATTTGATAGTGATGAAGCTAACATGTATCCATGTAGGACAAAATTTATTTTTCTAGTTTAAATTGTAGTTAAATGATGTGATTTTAGTGATTGCTTGTAAACCACAATTTCCGCCTTACTTGAATGCCTTGCTTCCTCAAGATCAAATTTTTGATCCCGAAGATTTAGAATATGATCCAAAAGCACAAGAAGAACAGTCTCCCCCGAAAAAGAGGCTCAAACAGGATCAAAAACCTTCTGAAGTTGCTCCAGAACCAGAAGAAGAAGTTGTTGAAGTTAGAGAAGAACCTAAAGTTGAAGAAAACACTAGTTCTCAAAGTTTTGATATTGATAATCCTTATTTGGCTGCCACCAAACTTCCAGCAAAAGGAGAATAATATTTTGATGTTAGATTTATTAAAAATTAAAAACGATTATTTTTTTTTTATTTAATACATACAGTTGATAATTATTTGCTTCTCTTATAGGCCCCATACACCTGCAAACAAATTACGCAACAATCACTGTTTTGCGAAAATTGTGTAATGTATGGTGTTGGTTGATACGTTGCGCAACTGGTTGCAGAAACTTAAAATTGTTTGAAATTAGTTGCGCAACCAATTGCATTGCGTATGGGGTTTGTGCGACACACTGTGCAATAACGACAGTTTCTTTTCACATGTGTTAGTAGAAGATAGTTATATTGTTTCTCTCAATATTGTGTCTTGTTTTTGTACGTCGCACAGAAGCGAATTAGTTAAAAATCTTGGCCAAAAAGATATTTTTGTCAATTTTTTACTTCAATATTGGTGGAAATTAAAAAATATCTATACAATTAACAAGGATGAAGTATTTTAATATACTGCGATTTTATTTAATTGTATCTACCTATATTTTTATATCTTTCATATCTTTTTCATCGTTAAAATGTTTGCAACTCACACAACTTGAAACATTTTTTCAGACATTTTTACAAAAATTTGGTATATCTACCAATCTTCTCTAAAGTTCTCCATTTCNCTTCTCTTATAGGCCCCATACACCTGCAAACAAATTACGCAACAATCACTGTTTTGCGAAAATTGTGTAATGTATGGTGTTGGTTGATACGTTGCGCAACTGGTTGCAGAAACTTAAAATTGTTTGAAATTAGTTGCGCAACCAATTGCATTGCCTATGGGGTTTGTGCGACACATTGTGCAATAACGACAGTTTCTTTTCACTTGTGTTAGTAGAAGATGGTTATATTGCTTCTCTCAATATTGTGTCTTGGTTTTGTACATCACACAGAAGCGAATTAGTTAAAAATCTTGGCCAAAAAGATATTTTTGTCAATTTTTTACTTCATAATTGGTGGAAATTAAAAAATATCTATATAATTAACAAGGATGAAGTATTTTAATATACTGCGATTTTATTTAATTGTATCTACCTATATTTTTATATCTTTTTCATCGTTACAATGTTTGCAACTCACACAACTTGAAACAGTTTTTCAGACATTTTTACAAAAATTTGGTATACCTACCAATCTTCTCTAAAGTTCTCCATTTTCAAGATAATCACTGTTTAAGGGCACTTTGCAGAATTTGATTATGCTCAGTAAACATTAGTTGGCGTTGAAAATGATTTTATTTGGTCAAACACTAGACTAATACCGTCAATTGGCATTAATACTAGAGTATTGGCATTAATACTAGAGTATTGGCATTAATACTAGAGTATTGGCATTAATACTAGAGTATTAATGCTAATTGACAGTGTAAATTATAGAAAAACGAAAATACACTTTACCATCTTAATAACTTACTATAAAAACTTTACCCATCTGTATCTTCGTTCTTATTAACAAGTGGACTAAGATAAATTGGGTTAAATCGTAATAATTTAAGCTCTGTGTCCCATTAGTAACGAACCAGCCTGTATAAGACTTATGGTTAATATTTTTCAAGGAAAAAATCTTACAAATAATAAATTGAATTGACACAATAACAACTTTCAATATTTTACTGAAAACTCAGTGTGTTAATTCAATTTTTAATTTCTTTCTAGAAAATTATTAACTTTAGAACGCTAACATCTGATACTAAAATTAATTAGTGTTTCAGATAATAAATTGTAATTTTGGTTAGAAACTTTTTTGTGTCCATAAAAATCTATATTATCAATTTAATGGTGAAAAAGTGTTCCTTTATGTTTATTTTCTAACTGCAAATGCGCTCCCCAAACAAACAGCACATAGCAGAATTATGATTTTTTTTCGAACTTTATACACTCACTATAATAAAAATTTATTGAGTTAAAACCGCACAATACCGCAAGAATTTCTAGCAAAATCTACAATAGTAGGCCTTATACTACAACATGTATACAATATTACTTTTGAACAATGTTAAACAATTTATTTTTTGCCCATCTAAATATCGTAAAATGAATTATTTTCCCAATTTAAACATATGATGTAATCAAACAATATTACAAAAAAACTAATATGCGAATTGTTGCTTTCTGTATATTATACAATTCGACTTACCACCAGCAATAGGTTCTATGATAAATTTTCAAAATATATAAAAAAAAAGTGTAAAGGAAAAAATTAATTAAAAACCACAATTTTTACCGACGTGTTATCTAGGTGGTAACTGTTTACTAAACAATCAATTAACGACTAAACTATTTTGGCGGCGATTGTTACAATAATTATAAATAAGGTGTTTCAAGGCATCTTTCTCAATCTTATTCCTTAAATTTTTCCAATTTTGGCCATGATTTTTAAAAAATTCGCCTGTGTGCATCGTTACGAAACTACTGTGCACATAAAATGCAACATAGCTTAATAGTACTTATGACAACCCTGAGTTTTCGGCCGTCTTAAGAGACGCACAGCTAAACCCGAATGTTTCTAGTTCTAGTGTTAGTTCTATTTTTCGTTCAATAAAAGTTTACCACAATCTAATGCTGAATAACAAATAAAACTGGAACTAACGCTAGACATAGATCTGGAAACATTCGGATTTAGCCACACGTCTCTCAAGAGGGCTAAACCCGAATGATTTTAGTTCTAGGTCTTGTGTTAGCTCTAGTGCTAGTGCAAAACTAGAACTAGAAACATTCGAATTTAGAATTCATTTAGAACGTCTTTCAAAACGGCTAAACCCGAATGATTCTAGGTCTGGTGTTAGTTCTAGTGATAGTGCTAGTCTAAAACTAGACCTAACACTAGACCTAGAACTAGAAACGTTTGGGTTTAACTAGGTCTAGTGTTAGTTCTAGTTTTAGTGCAATAAAAATATGCAACATTGTGATATCTGATATCCACTGTCACTAGAAGTAACATTAGAACTAGAAACATTCAGCTTTAGGCGTTTTAAGGGACGCCCAGCTAAACGGAATGTTTCTACTTCTAGGTCTAGTGTTAGCCTAGTTTTATTTGTTATTCATCACTAGATTATTGTATATTTTTATTGAGCTATAAGGCACACTGTCTTCCCCGTATCAATATAACGGATTGATACGGGGAAGACATCGAGGTTTTACTGTAATGTAAATTTATATTGACATGTTGCATTTTATGTAGGACACCTGCAAACAACGGCTAAATATAATATACAGTGTGTCCCCGGATAGGTGAAACGACTCTTATAAAATGTAAAATTTTGTCTATACTAATTCCCAGTAAACAAATTTGCGTTTCAGAAACATTTCTGATACATATTATTGAAACATGAAATGTTTCTTCGACATATTTCTGAAACATAGGTGAAACGTGTCTGAAACTGCTAATGTCCGGCCCTTTTTATGTTTCATTGAAACGTTTCTATTGAAATGTTTCTGCAACATACAGTTGACAATTACGGTACATTACTAAAATGTTTCAATAACGGTTTTGAATTATTTCTGAAATGTTTTAACATTCCTTAAGGAATGTTACGTAAGGTTAGTTCTGTTTACAAACATTAATTATAGCGTGAAGTTTTCTTTAGTAATTAGTAATGCCAATCATAGCGTGAAGTTTTCTTTTGAAATGCCAATTAAACCGTGAAGGAATGTTACGTAAGGTTAGTTTTGTTTACAAACATTAATTATAGCGTGAAGTTTTCTTTAGTAATTAGTAATGCCAATCATAGCGTGAAGTTTTCTTTTGAACTGTCAATTAAACCGTGAAGGAATGTTACCTTAGGTTAGTTCTGTTTACAAACATTAATTAATGTTTGTACATACGTTCACAGACGGTGCTGAAGATATTCCAGACATGTTTCAGACACATTTGTAGCGAAATGTTTCAAATGAAATGTTTCTGCTACATATTTTAATGATATTTCATAAATATTTCTACTGAAATGTATTTGATACATATCTTTAGATACGTTTCGTAAAAATCGTATCTGTCACGTATATGAAACGTAGTTCTAAGATGTTTCATTTAATTCACTGTACATTAAAATTGAAATGTTTCACAGAGGTTTCTTGTTTACTGGGTTGTCATCTTTTGGGGTTCAGCCCTGCTTGGTTAAAGACTAATTTTGAACATATTTTCAAATTTTAAAAAACAAGGGTGTATTGACAGTGAAGCGAAAACTTCTTATGTGTCAGGTAAAGTACCTTTTCTATTTACAGTATGGTAAAATGTTACTAAGAAATTCTATTCAGAATGAAACGTTATGACCATATGCAAATTTTCGGAATCATCGGCCTACTTTGATAAAACCCATTGTTTATTATTTTCGTCAATAGTACTTTATTAAGATTCGTTTTTTTGAGATTCAGATTATTCTGGAAAAATAAACAAACAACAAAAAATTAAGTGTGTGTTCGCCCACAAAAGAAAACAGTTAATCAGTTTCATCATAATTTTTTTTTCTTAGAATGAATACTTCCTGCTGCCAGATATCTTTTGATTAAACGCCAACAAATACTTCTTTTAATACCAGTATTTGGAAATTTTTCACTAAATAAAGCAATAATCATATTTATCGGTTTTTCCCCGGTTCCATAACACTAAATCACGTAAACTTTTTCCTCTAATGTTAACATTGTACTTAAAAAACTGTTTAAGTTTACTAAATTACAGTTTGACAGATTAACAGTGACAGGAAAGCAATTTTGTTTTTCCATGGCAGTCTTTGTTAAAAAGAAAATTGTTTGATATGGATTTTTTCAAAGTAGGCCGATCATTCCGAAAATTTGCATATGGCTTTTTCATTCTGAACAAAACTTCTTAGTAACACTTTCACGTACTGTAAACAGAAAAGGTACTTTACCTGCCACAAAAAGCGTTTAAACCGTTGCCAACATAAAACATAATGAGTCGAGAGTTTTGAATGAAACCGCTCAACTGGAAGTGTTGGGTCATTTCGGTATCAACCCCAATACTTCATTGCGTCAGGTATCTCGTGCAACTGGTATATCCTTGGGTTCTGTTCATAAAGTTGTAAAACTTCACAAATTCCATCCTTATAAATTGAAAATACATCAAGAGCTAACTGAAGACGATTTTGACAGGAGAATACAGTTTTGTGAAGAAGTGACCACTATTATTAATAATAACAACGTTTTTGTGAAAAATATCTGCTTTAGTGATGAATGCACTTTTTCTTTAAATGGATTTGTAAATAAACATAACTGCAGATATTGGAGTAATGAAAACCCTCATCTGACTGTAGAAGGGCATACACAATATCCTGAAAAAGTTAATGTATGGGCCGGCATTTTGGGAGACCAAGTGATTGGTCCAGTGTTTATCGATGGAAATTTAAACGGCGAAGTGTACTTGGATATGTTAGAAAATACTATCAATCCACTAATTACGGAAGCTCTCGAGAATCAGTTGGATAGAGAAGAAAATGCCTTACTTGATGAGAATGAATTACATTTTCAACAAGACGGAGCTCCTCCTCACTATGTTCTCCCAGTACGACAGTGGTTAGATAATACGTTTCCAAACAGATGGATAGGACGAAGAGGTCCTATAGAATGGCCAGCCAGATCACCAGATTTGACGCCATTAGACTTTTTTTTATGGGGTCATTTAAAGTCTGTTGTATTTACCCCTCAACCTCAAAATTTAGAAGAACTTCGTCAGAGAATTACTGCAGCTTGCCGTGGAATTCAAAGGGAAGTTTTTGAAAATGTGCGCCGTAGTTTTGAACAACGGTTGTACCATTGTTTAGCTAATAACGGACAACACTTTGAACAATTATTAAGTTGATTTTCTCTGCAAAAAGTTTTTGTACATAATTAAATAACTGAAAATAAAATAGAACGTTTCAAGCAGTTAAAAGTTGTTTAAGTAATAACCAAATAAACCTAAAAGAAAAGAAAAATGAAACAGAAATCGTTTTTTCTAAATATCTCTGACAGACGCCAGGCAAGCTAGCCAACGTAGGTATATCATTGTCAAAATAACCTAAATATCAAAGATTTCGGATTGCTCCGAAATAATAAAGGTTTAATGGTCGTTGTAAAAACGAACATGGTAATTTAATTTTATAAATTAATAATAAAAGATTACTTATTCTTGCTTTTAAGAAGGTGATTAAAGTTTTTAATATTAATTAAAGCGGGAAATACAAAACAAAGATTTTCGCAAAAATTTCGAAAACGAATCGATCAATTTAAAAAAAATAAATACTAACATGTAGTACCTTAAAAGACCTTTAAAATGAGGTATCACTTGACACCCCTTTCCATTTAAGATTTTTAAGGGGTTGGTTTCTGGCGGCGGTGGGTTGAAGTGAGTGAGTCAATTTTTGAATAAAAAGTTGTCCCCCTTGGTTTTATTCTTTACCTACTTCAGCGATTTTCTTTTTAAACTTCCGGATTTACAGAAATTGAGGTGGAAAGTTTTGAAATGAACACCCTGTATATCACCACTAGATTTGGTTAATGGAAATACGGCTAGTGAACACTATTTAAAGAAAAAGGCTTATGTAAAGAATTTTTTGTAATTCGCGACGGTAATGAAAGCTATTACAGTACTCTAACGGGTGCTGTAATGACACTCTTTACAGCATCCGATGCTGTAATGAGATTTTAGTAACATTTTATGGAACCAGTTCAAGTTGGTGACATTGCGTCATTAATTTTTCTAGTTGTCAATATGACAATTTTTGTCTATGGATGTTTAAACACGTTCTTAGCATCGAATACAAGGTCCACAATGATGAGGACATTGAACATTGAGCAATTTCTCTTATTTTGGGAGGTGTTTATGAAAAATTTTTTTCAGGTGAATACATTTTGTGTTTTGACAGTTTCTAATTGTCAAATAAAATTTCTATTTTCAAGTGTTACGATGTTACCACCTGCTACATACCTATTTCTCTACATTGACAAAATTTATTTTATTTTTCTTAAAAAAGAAGGATAAAAATGCGAATTACAAAAAATAGCATAAAAAACACGTTTCATAAGACTAAAAGCACTCATTCATTAAAAAACTCGTGGCTTCGCCACTCGTTTTTCAACTTGAATTCGTGCATTTCAAGCGTGTCTTACGAAACTTGTTTTTTAATATACTATTACGTTTTCCGTAGGTCAAATCATAACCTATAAGGTTTGATCGCGATTCCCGCTAAATGTGTTTTTCTCCTGCTATCATATAAAATTATATAGTTATATAGTTTTACGTTCGTGTGATGTGAGATAAGATGGAAAGAAAAAAATTAAAGCTGAATATCTCTAAGAGACATTTTCGTGAAATGTACCGTAATTGTCACCTGTATGTTGCAGAAACATTTCCATAGAAACGTTTCAATGAAACATAAGAAGGGCCGGACATTAGCAGTTTCAGGCACGTTTCAACTATGTTTCAGAAATATGTCGAAGAAACATTTCATGTTTCAATAATATGTATCAGAAATGTTTCTGAAACGCAAATTTGTTTACTGGGTTTTCTTTCACTGTCAAGGCTCATTTCTTTTTTAAAAATTGAAAATATGTTCAAAATTAGTCTTTAATCAAGCAGGACTAAACCACAAAAAAAGACAATATCTAAAAAATTTTACCTTTTATAAGAGTCGTTACACCTATCCGGGGACACACTGTATATAAATTCATACTTTTGATTGATTCCACAAAATATGTATGTAGTTGGAGAAATTATGACACTGACAATATCTGGTTTATGGATTTTAGGTAATCCATAAATTGTTGGTTGTAATGGGGATGTTCAGCTCATTGTATATTTGTATATCAGGAATTTCAATAAAAAATTACACCATTATAAATGTTAAAATATATAATATAATATCAAACTTTATAAGTCTTACAGTCAAAACATTAACAATTCAAGCTTAACATAAACAAAATATAAACCGCTATTTTATATCAAACATTTTCGTTAAGAATTTCATATTACTAATATTTAAATGATATCTACAATATTGTATTATGATAAATTCAAATTTTCGCCACATTTATTTTATTAATAAATAATCGTCTGGTTTATGGTTTTCTTTGAACCATATTCTGTAGTCGTTTGATGATGTTACCAATTCGTTTCAACTCATTCTTTTTTGAATACTTTTTAAAGATTTTAGCTGAAATTATATATGTTTATAATTTTTTTATATTTATTTGATTATGACTAACCTTTAAAGAACTTTGATTATTTATTTCTTCCTCCACTGGAAACATTTCAATCTTCTCAAACCCTCTTTTATATCTCAAATTTTCTCTCGTATAAAACGTTTCCACATCATCATATTTTTCATTACTTTTATATAGTTTTTGATCATTTTGAGTCCAATGTTCATCACCATAATATGGAGGTTTTTCAATAGATTTCTCAAACCCTCCTTTAATGCTAGCAGCTAATGATCTAGCGTCGCTTAACTCATCTAAGTTTCCATCTAAAACCGGGCTAAACAATTCATCTAAAAATTGATCAACATCCGATGCTTGACTTGGTACTCTCACTCTCCTCACGTGGCTCGCCAAACTCGGAGCTTCACTTGTATCGCTCATTGCTGAGCTTCTTAGATGACTCATTGAGCCAGAATTAAATTCGTTCTTTTCAATGTACGCTCGACTTGATTGATAAGAACCAACTGGAGCTTTTTTTGATGAAAATTGAGATTTGATGTACCGCGGATGAGCGCCTCTATGAGAAGTAGAAACACTTGATGCATCTGGATACTCAAAATCCATATCAGGTTTGGGTTGAGTTGGAGTAAAAACTGGTTTTATGGGCGGCGTGAGATGCTCAACAGAGTGGTAACGATCATTGAGTCTTGATTGACTCAATCCTAACTCGGATAAATTCGTTGTTGGTTCAGGTTCAGATAAAAGATTATCTAAACTTCTTGAGCGCACTTTCTCTAATTCGAAATAACGTTCGTTCAAAGCTGAATTTCTCGATAATATCTCATTTGATGAAGGCTGAAATTGAGAACTTTCATCTAAGTTGGGTTGTCCGTAACTTTGTCGTTCGTTGTTTCTAAAATCATCTCTAAAATCTTCTTTAAAACTACTTCTCATATCTAATCCTCGTCCGTAATCTTCCGTTTCTTGATCAAAATCAACGTCTTGTTTCGAGAATTGATTGGAAATTCTTCGAGAACCACTCGACATCTTTTTCAAATTTAGTGGGGGTTCTGGAGGTGGAATTTGTGGTCGAACCAATGGAACATGATCTAATTCTTGAGAGAAACTTGTATGAGAAGCACTAACTTTTCTCATATTGCCTTTGAATTGATCCATCTTTCTAGATTGCATGTTAACATTTTCCTTGTGTTCTTGAGTGATTTTTTGATCTTTTATTTCATCAACTTTAGATTGAAAACGATTTTTATACTGAAAGTGATTAGATTCTTCTTGAGAGTATCTTCTGAAATGATCAGGAGTCTTATTAATTTTATTAAAATGCTCTGGTTCCATTCCAGGATAATCCAACGTCTCTTGGAATGTTTTTGGCTTGTACTGAGTATGATGTTTACTTTGGAAATGATGATCTGTTTTTTCTTGAGAATGCCTGCGAGTTTGAAAATCAGCTTTTCTATCTTCATAGCGATCCATTTTCTCTTTAAGTAATCTTCCTTCATTTTGGTCAATTTGAGAAATTCTTTTTCCTTGTTCCGCACGAAACTCATTCAATTTTCCTCCATAATCTAAATTTTCTTGGAAATCATCAACATCTTCCTTAAATTGATCAATTTTTTCAGTTTCACTTCGAAATTGACCAATTTCTGGTTGAAATTGATCGATTTTGACTTCATTTCGACTTCTTGATCCGCTTTTAAACAAAGTAGATCTTTGAACGGGGAAAGCTGGACATAATTCGAGTTCAGAAACTAAATCGAATACATAATCCAATCCATTTCCATCCGTAACGATTCCTGAATCATCCAAAACTACCGTCCAACCATCCAAATTTTGATCATTCAAAGGATTTTGAACGTCTTTTAATTCATTATAATCGCTTAAATTTTGGGTAATTTCTTCACAACTCGTCCAAGAATCAACCGAAACTGTTAAAACAGTTCCATCTGGCATTGTAAATGGTAAAGCTTGATGAATTTTTTGCTTAATTGCTTTCCACTCTAATAAACTTGGTGGGAAAAGTCTCGAATGAGGCGCTTTTTGAATAGATCGTAACAATTTTTGTTCTAAATGTGTTTTAAAGCTTTCCGGGGCGTTATCTTTGATGAATTTTAAAAGGTATTTATTTAAAGCTGGGCTTGGTTGGAACGAACTCAAACAAATCGAAAGCAAGTTCCATAAGCGATCATTTTTTTCATTTGAACTCATTTGATTTATAATCTGAACAAAAATTTCATCCCTCAAGGTTTTTGAATTTAAACCTTTTAAACAAATAAAATCGCCCAAAACCTTTTCTTTTATCCCATTTAATTGGGGGTCATTCATCCATCTCAAAATGAGTTTAAATATCGCTAATGAGTCTTGAAAATCTTGATCTTTTGAGGAAGATTTTGATAAGAACGGGATAGGAATCGGCTCTTTCCTTGGTTCAAAACGGATTTTATTGAAATAAACAGAAGTAAATTTTGAAAAATCGAATGTGTCTAAATCTTTTGGAAGATTTAAAGGTTTTAGTCCTCCTTTTACACCGCCTAAAAGTTTTATTAAGTTCTTTTCTGTATGTTGAGGAGTGAAATTTTCCAATTTTGTAAAAATAAAAGCTAATTCAGCTGGGATTTCTAAATGATTCAAAGCTTTTTGATTCATTGTACTCATTTGGGTTTGATTTTGATGTAAATTTTGATTAATTTGAGTAAAATGAGATTGGTTTTGATTGATTTTATTGATTTGGGAGTGTTGTTGTTGTTGAGCTTGTCGATTTTGATTAAAAACTTGAGCAATTTTTATTTTTTCTTTTGCTTTAATGTCTTTAAGCATTTTTAAGTATTTCTTTCTTTCAATTTTCATTCGAATTAAAGCTTGAAGTTTTATAACACCATTTTTAAAAGTCTTGAATCTCTTCTTCTCGCGATAACCCCTAAACATTTTTTGAATCACAATAACGTTCTTTTTAATTGATTCGAATTCTTTTTTGATCAAAAATCGTCGGAAATTCTTTTGAATAATTATCGCTGAATGATGTAATTTATTTGATAGTTCCATATCGAGTTTTCTTGATAAATTCTCGTTCAAAAACACTTTAGTTACGCCTAATTGGAATTTAAAACGGCTTAGGTCTTCATTTTCAAATGATTTTGAATCGGTTGGAAAATTTTTGGGTTCGTTTTGATTAAACGTTTCGTTATTAAAATCGAATTGGTCGTTTCTTAAGACTTCTTTTAGGATAACTAAAGTGAAATCGCGGTAAGAAACGTGTTTGGGGATTTTCTTTCGGTTTAAACAACCGTATTTTTCGACGAATTCACTAAATTTCAGTCTTTTTGGGTAACCTAATCGTCGGATTTGAATCATTTCAACCATTCCGGTGTTTTTTAATTGTTCTAAAACTACATCTAAATCAAATTTTAATGGAATTTTTTCATTATTAGGTTTAATACAACGAATAAACCAAGGATTTGCTTTGCTCATCGAATCTAAAAGTTTTTGTAAGCTGTCGTTAAACCGTGCAGAAATCGTTGGGGTTCGTGGTTTAATTGTTACAAATCTTCCGTTTTGTCCTTTTGGTAATGTTTTCGAATGAATTTGATTCAATAAAGGTGTTGATATCGCTTTAATTAACGGTTCTTTACTGGAGGTTAATAAGTGTATTATTTCCGGTCGTAAAAAGTCGCGATTTTTATCCAAAAACCCTTCTGTTGAATACCAAACTTGTCCAGCAAAGTGTTTTATACCAAATTCCTTGAGATTTAAACGTGGTCGTGAATAATTTTCATTCAAAACATGATTATAATGACACTTTTCTAAGAATGACGAGTCTGAAGCTTTTGGAAAGTTGCTTTCATCATCTAATAAATGCAAAATCCCAACCGGTTTTTTCCCCAGCAAATTTAAAACGTTCGAATTATCCGGATACGTTAAATTACTCCATTTCAATTTTTCTTTAACATACTCCATTTGTTCCAATTTAAAAACGTAACGATTAAAATAATTTTGTAAAGATTCCGAGGCGAAATTGATGCAAAGCTGTTCGAAAGAGTTTTCTGGTAAATTTTCAAACCCAAAAATATCCAACAAACAAATTTTTTCCTCATTTTCAAAACTTTTCCCGTTCCTTTTGATCTCTTTGAAAATGATTAAATTGATTCTTTGAACTAGCCAATTAAAAAGACAGGAATAGAGCGCTTTCGCGAAAGCATCTCGAGTGTCCAAAGCTTGATCGATACTTAATGGAGAATAAATTTTATCCAAATGGGTATCAGTTGTACGAGTTGTTAAAGCTTTTTGAAGTCCGGATGTAGAGATTTCGAGTAAATGGGAGGTCCACTTAATTTCAACATCTGAACCAATTTCTACACCTTCCTGACCGTGACGAAGTTGGCGTCTAAAATAATTAATAACTAAAATAACACAGGTCGACAAAAATTTAAATGTTTTCTAAACCAACAACTAGACTATACTATCCCGAAGGTTTTTCACGTTCTAAATCCAAATTTAACCTCAAAAATGCTTCATCACGTAAGGTTTTCAAAATATCTTAGCCAAAATATGTTCAAAATGCGGTTTCTGGTCGTATTTGTGGTTAGGAGTTAAAAAAAACAATTTTTTTTAGAAGTTTTGAAATTATTACCCTTCCCCTTTAAAACTCTTTTTCAATTACTTAAATATCTTTTTTCTTCTTCGAGATATCATCTGTTGAAATTAATAAGTACATCGGTTTGCTCTGTCCTTGATAAACTGATGTTGAGTTACATCAAGTTAGCGATGTTGACGCACAGTAAAACAAATATACGAAAATGTGATCAAATATCTAAAAATGAAGCTTTAAAGTTGAAATTTTTAACCATGCATTTATCTTTTAACCAAGAGGTATTCAATTGAGAAACTGGACATTCAAAATCCAGTTAATTTTTATGAATTTATTTGGTTTATAAGTACGAAGGCTTTCACGGCCGGTGTGAATTAAACTAAGATTAGAACTAAAACTAGAACTAACACTAGAAACTTTCGGGTTCACCGGCCGTGAAAGCCTTCGTACTTATATTATTAACCTTTATGGGGAGGATATCAACAAACAAATCAAGGATTTGGATAACTCACGAATTAGACAACGCAAGCTGTTGAGCAGTTTGGCCTTTCTACGAAGATGCAGAGAGAAGAAAGTAACGCCAACCTTCTTGAAGGTGAAGCACCACATCGACTCCGCTGCAGCACGTAGAATTTTGATTAGGACAGAACAAGCACTGCTACGAGAAAGAATCCACAAGACCTTCAATGATCTACAAAAAATAAGTACGACTCCACCTCTCACTTTCCAATTGTATATCCGGAGAAGACTGGGACAAAGTGGACAGACTAACAATGGAGAAGGCTAATCGCGAATTTCAGAAGACCCGTGACACACACATCAAGAAGTTTGAATCTCTGGAACGCCGGTCGCAAAAGAAGAAAGGTAATAGTTTACCAGTAGAAACAATCGTCATTAACAGATCGAATGTCCCACTAACGAAAGACGAAACCTCTGTGCTCGCCAAAGGATTGAACTACGCAATCGCCCCGAAGAAGGTCCCAAAGGAGGAAATCATCTGCGAAGTGGAAGCAGCTGTTCGAGGGATGCCTGCACTGAAAGCCGAAGAGATCCGACAAGAAGTTGCGAGAGTATTGAAGTCAGCAAAACCACCAAAATCCAACTTGACGGTTGGTGAAAAGAAGGCACTCCGATCTATAAAAGAAAAATCAGAAATCGTCGTGTTACCAGCAGACACGGGGAATGC